TCTACATTTAAAAATAGCGTTTTACTGTTATGATAATGCTATTTTAAAAGAGTTGCTGTATCTATGTGGCACAATTACTACCCTATATAAAGGCGAAAGATACAATATTCCAGTTCAAATTTGGTTACAAGAAAATCATCCTTTTGTATCACTATTAGTTTATGTGAAACCAACATCGGATATGTTCATTGCTACTATGTCGAGTAATGTCCACCGAGATGGATTTGTTGTTTTACCTTATCTTAGATCATGGCATTATGTAATATCACCTTCATTTACGAAGTCAATAATATTTGTTTCTTTTAGCCTATAAGTAATTTATTCACTTTATTACAACTGTTGTCTGAATCATTCAGTGAATCTCCACCTGTTTTTTCAAGAATTTCACCTGGTTATGTATCTTTAACAAATTCGAGTAGAGCTTCATCAACATCAAATGCATCTTCATCGACTACTTACGGTAAATTCCATCATTCTTTCATCGAGCACAACTATATCCGTTTTTTTACTGTTGGATTTTCTGGATCCATTCAAAATCTATAGTGATGGATAAGAAACTATTACGAAAAATAAAATAGAAATTAAAAAGTATATTGCATATTTTGACTCAAAAATGATTACTAATTGCCTAGGACAGTTTCATAGCTAGCATGGAAAGTTGATCCAATCAAGTTAGACAAACATAAGAAGAATTTGAGAAAACCCTTCTATCTTTCTTACTAAATATGTTTTAACTCTTATTGTATAACGAGTTTATGTCTAAGCAGTACGAAACGTTTTAGATATCCAAAGAGTGTCTCATCGTTCGATTTTATGTACGCATTTAAATCATAAACGTCTTGCTCTCGAGTTCTATCTTAATTACTTGATTTGACTGAAGACAAAACAGCTCTTTGACCATAAAATATTAGACTGATATATTAAGGTGTTGCATTTTCTTTTGAAATCATTCTGAACTCATATCTCTTATGCTGACAACATTTTCAGGAGTCTGCTGTGAGTTGCTAAATTATCGATCAATGAGCTGCGCGTTTTATCTGCTGTAATATTCATTTTTCAAAACTTTAGCTCAAAGGATTCTTGTTAATTGTTAAATAGATTGTTGGCAAATGGCTTATATATCACGCATCTTTTCTTTTCAGGTCAAACTTCTAATAAAATATCTAACAATGTTGATGAACAACGCCATACTCATCGATTCTCTGCTCTTGCTACCGAACCACGGCAAATGCTTTTACCAATTCAAGGCTTTGAGAAAATGCCTTTAGGTTCTCTTGAAGAAGCTATTAATCCTATTGTCTCGTTCGTTCCAGATGTTGAACAAATGGTGTGGTTTGATAAACAGAATTGCAGTGATCCCAAAGATGGTTTAACCAATGATGAATCAGCTTCTATCATGCTTTATACAATGGAATGGGAACCATACGAAAAATCTTTCTATGTAAAGCTCAATGCTACTCTACGAGCAAGCACACGTGAAGAGCTAAAACCATGATTTTTATATCTTCGACTTGTTGTTAATGCTCTTCAGAAACTTCCATCAACTCGTCATGTTGTCTATCGAGGTATCAAATCGAATTTGACTGCTCAATATGTCCGAGGAAGTAGACTTGTTTGGTGGGGTTTTTCTTCGTGTACTCTATCAATTGAAACACTTAAGAATGAACGTTTCTTGGGCAACAAAGGAGTACGGACTCTCTTTAGTATTGACTGTCAATCAGCTAAAAACATTCGATCACATTCATTTTATGCTGAAGAAGACGAAATATTGCTGCTTCCTGCTCGTCAATTTGAAGTCATTGACTGTCTTGATCAAGGCAATGGGCTTCATATTATTCAATTGAGAGAAACTCAACCGAAATTTCCACTTATCAAACTTAATTAATTCATCATAAAACTCTTAGCGTTGCCAACGAGTTTCAAATCAAGTTCTTTTTTCTACTTGTATGTCAACATGTACACCATTCCATTACTACTTTTAAGACAGAAATGATTAAACAAAGAGAATAAATCCTAGATTATCACTTCTGATTTCATAATATTTCTAAGGTCTATATTAATTATGAAATTACAATTTTAATATAGTTTTCTGAGGTTTTTCTTCTATATGCAGCAACAAAAAGAGCCCATCGTCTGCTCTCTTAACGTTTAGGCATTGTCATAACACATGTTTATTTGTACTACTACTGATATAGCCTACATTATACGGAGCAATGTAGCATCTCTTTGTTGCTTTATTTGCCTGCAATGAGCATTATTTTATATGTAAGAATGCACCATCAAGCTCATGCTAACTTTAACTTGTTACAAAATTACAAAATTGTTGTATCGATTATGTTTCACTTTTGTGAAGAAATAACTAACTTTGGTAATATGTAAGTTTAGATTAGATTCCTAGCAACGTTTTAATTTGAAGTTCTAATGTACTCAGTCGATGGTAGTATCATAAATATTTACATTGTCATCATCGTTTGATTAAGAAAGACATGGCTTGTGTTAAGTCTGTTACTTACATCTGTTTACTTGGAACAAAGTAATCTATGATTTCTATTTCTATTACAGTTCATTCTGTTCAGTAATGCTTTGCTATAACAAAAACATCAATCGGATGATGTGCTTTTATATTCATTATAGTTTTCTAATCAAATGTCTATGGTGAATCTCCTTGTCAAAAATTTGAGTTTGTCAAAAATATTCTTTACATCAATAAAGTTTATCACAACTTGTCTACTTGCTATGACGATTGGATTTACAGTTTTGTATACGTTTATCTCGAACTGTTTCTTTATTTAGTGGCGGATTTAGGGAGGAGCGCTTGGGGCGATCGCCCCCATTCGAAAAAAAAAATTTTCGATTTTTCCCAGCAGAAAAGACTTAAAAATAGAGTGCATACTACTACTAATGAACTTCAAAACTCGATCTTTGGTCAAAATCGCCCCATATCTATCAAATCGCCCTCTATTCAAAAAAATCCTAGATCCGCCGCTGGACTAAATAAATCTGATGTTTATCGTATCATTCATACAGGTGGCAAAACTTAATAAGAAGTCAAAATTTGAAGGACACTACTGCTGAATAAAGTTTAAATTAGATTTTGAATACTCATTATCTGTAAACTGTTAATCGACTACACAAGAAAACCTATGTAAAAAAAATTGGATCTAAATAAATTTAAAAAGTTGTCCAAAAGATAATTTTTAATTGATTTCGTGTGAGTCTATAAACGATAGAAATTGAATTCTCTTTTTTCTTTGTTTTTATATTAATTATAAACGACGTTTTTATGACTAATAAATTGGTTTTAATTAAAAGTAATCAACAGTAATCGATAAAATTTTGATACTTTCAATTATTTCTTTGATTATCATCGATTAAAAGTGAATGATTTTAATCGATCATCCGCACCAGTTTTTGTTTACATCGATGGGAGAACCTTAAAACTCGAAGATTTACAGCGAGATATGCCATAGGTAGTTCATGTTCTGAATTTAATAGTTTGGTATTAAGAGTGCTAAGTCGAAGGAGATATGTTCAATTTTCTTAAATTATAGTACAAAACTCTTCTTTGTTAATTAAAATCTTGATGTCATTAATTTTTAATTAATCTGTTATTAATACACCTTGGTATTAATAAAATACTTTTCTAAACGTAAGAGGATTATTACAGACAGTGGGGATAATTGAGTTCATTTGAGTTGGTGTAAGTAAGTACATAGATCTTACATTTTTCTTTGATATGTTTTCAGAATTCATTTTATCTAAGAATGTGAAACTCAAGCAATACATCTACTGAAGAAAGTACCGATTTCTATCCCGATATTGTGTTTTCCTATGGTTCTCGTTTTGGACTTTTTCTTATTTCAAATATTTTGTCAATATTTTGTTGTTTACTTGTTCTTTATCATTTATTATTTGATCGAATTTTTTGTCGTGCATTGAATAATCATGTTATTATAATTCTACTTTTTATTTGTTTATCATATGAATTAAGAGATGTTCCATTTATTCTTCATTTTTTTCAGTATGGTTTTAGTTGGGAATTTCCAGTAAGTTTTTCTGTATTTTGGTCATTTATTGATTATGCATTATATGGAATACAATTTTTAATACTTTCACGGGCAACAATTGGGAGACATATTCTTATATTTCATGATCGATGGTTATTAAATAGAAAAAGACGTTTCTTTATTCATTATCTTTCATTAATGATACTTATTCTATACAGTTTTATTTATTATTGTATTATAATATATGCTTCATTTTGTCCATATATATTTTATCGATTACCTGCTTATGGTGTTCTATTTCCATGTATATATTATTATGTAAATATGATTTCAATATGGGAGCTTGTATGTCATCAAACAATTCCAATATTTATCATAATTATATTTAGGTTATCTCTTTTAATCCGTATTTTATGGCAAAAATCTCGTTTACATCGATCAATACATTGGAGAAAACAACGAAAAATGACAATACAATTATTATCTGTTTCGATGCTTTTCATAACTTTTAGTGCACCATGAGTATATTTTTAAATATATCTTATCAATTTGGAGTATCAAGAGCTGTAGGATTAGAGTTTATGTCATATGCTTATTTTTTCTCTTATTACATTGTATTTCTTTTTCCTTGTGTATGTTTAGGAACATTGCCTAAACTCAAGGAGAAATTGGAGAAACTGTTATTTTATCAACGTCGAAGAATGGTTATTGTTCCTGAAGGCTCTCCTAGAAATCGTATCATATGTAACTGAACATATTGCATTAAAATTTTGTCTTTTTTATATTTATTTTGAGAAAAATAAACTTCTATTAACTTTTCCTTTTAAGAAACGTATTAAAAAAATAAAACAAATGAGATAATAATTTATCAATAATTTTCTTAAAAAATCTAATATGAGCATATCAATGAAAATCTTATGTTAACAAAGAATCAAAAATTATATAGATAAAAAAAATAATTCGATGTTGAAAGATCAACTAGTAATCGATTGAATTTGATTTTTTAAATCACATCAGTTAAAAGTGTAAAAAATATAAATTTTTATAGACGAAGTAATGATAGAAGAAACACGATGAAATCGAATGATGCGTTGTATTCAATAATTGTATATATAACTCGCTTTCTTCATTCGTCTCTATTATGATAAACAGAGCAGACATAAAAGTTAATTTTGAAATATTCAAGTACTTTTTGTAAAAAGAAGATTCATTAAAATGATTTTGTCATCATAGTTGGATTTGTCGAATTCATTGTTTCTGAAGTGAAAAGTATATCTCTTCATAGAATTTTTAGTAGATAAAAAATATTGTTTTATAGAATACGATATTCCTTGAAAAACTGTTTTCACTTTTAACTGTATAAAAGAATTCACCATGACAGAAATGTGTTTTATTGAATCGTAATGTTTTTAGTTGTTTCACTGATCATAGACAATAAGACTATTTAATCTTTTGAGAACGATGATAAATAAGTTGTACCACTTATTTTCCAGTAAAGAAAATGTTTGCGCTCAATTAATAAGCCGTTCCATCTACTATCTCATACATATCTTTTATCACTTACTATCTGTCGCCTAAGTTTTTTGCAGATGTTCTTGGTGTGGGTGTGGGTGTGAGAGTGGGCTTTTCTGTGGCTACAGGTACAGCGAATAATCATAGTTATACCTAGAAAATCTCACACCAAATCAACACCCACCCACACCCACACCCTAGATGTATTATTGTTTCTTAATTGCGATATATGCACTACTTTGTTATAACTTTATTACTAATTACTTTTATTATGTTTTAAATTTTATTACTTATTACTTACTATATTATTTTATTACTTTTTTCGAGGTTATTAGTTATTAGTGGTAGTTAGTAAGAACATTTGTGACTTTATTACTTATTACTAGTAATTTCTGTATTGCTTATTACTTTTATTCCTTTGATTACTTTGTAAAATTATTGCTAATTATCAGTAGTAAGTAATAGCGTTTTTAATTATTACTTATTACCGGTAATGATAATGTGACACCCCTAGAACCCACACCCACACCATACACCCATACTCACCCACACCCTTCTTGCAGACTGATGCTTTATAATGAATCAAATAATACAATTACTAATATTGATTGTATTGAAGATTCAATGCAAAATCTACATAAATCTGAATTATTTTATAATTTATTTCCGTCATGGACTCTTTTTTTTCTAGGGAACCAAAAAAGATTCTCTCCATATGTACAAGGGAAGAATCTTTTAGGTTTTGTAAAGAACTTTTTTCGTCTTAGAGTGTACTGCTTTCTGACTTTTCGCTTCTTTAAAAAAATAATTCACTTATGCGTTTCTATGGATCGAACTATTGTCCAGACAAAATTGTCATAAAGTAACGCATCAATCTCACGCTGTTTTGAAGAAAACTTTAGCAAATGATCAGCAACTTTCTGAAAGCAAAAAATGAATCTCGATTATAATTGAATAATAAAAAACTGAAATAAACTGTAGAGAATAAATGAAAAAAATGAAGCAGAATATACACTCTCTATCATAGGGAACATTTGATACAAGAGCGTATGTCTGCTAATGTCTTTCTCGACATGATTAATTTAGACATTAGTACCAATACACTACCACATGCTGCACTTATTCACTCGACTATTGCCTTGACCTGGCTTACAGCCAAAAGCTTTATCGAACTCAACAAAATTCGACGTAGGACCAAGTACTCTAAAAACAAAAAATATTTTAGATAGTACAAGGAGATGTATAAAAAAAACTCTGCCTGAATTGAGATGGTGAGTGTGTATCTATTAGCATATAAGTATTCGCCATTTGGTCTGTCATTTTCGTACACCATATGTGACCAAAACTGAGAAAGAACATTTGTTCT